GAAAGCATTTCAACAGTGGTTATTATTTTATGGATGAGAGCTCCACAAATTGCACTGCAAATGCTCTCCAAGTGCACAGATCCCACTTTTCAAAGCCACCGGATCTGTTGTCTGTAAACTCTGTCCTCAATAGGGTAGGCATTTCTGTTCTCACCAGTTCTAAAAGTAACATATATCTGTCAGGCCTGGCTATATAATTTGAGGGGACCAATGCAAAATAAAATTATAGAGCCCCTTATTATGAATGTGTTAGAAATTACAAGCCGGTGACAGCAGAGCATTAAAGCAAGCGTGGGCCCTTCTAAGAGGAGGGCCGTGTGTGACTGCGCAGGCCCCACACCTATGAAGCCTATCCTGTGTCTGATGCTTGAGGGAGAAGGCAGAGAAGTCTTTATCCTCTTTAAAGAAACAGATTCTCAGGAGTAGGCTAACATCTGCCCAAAGTTCAATGTAAGAAATCTTACATCCCCCGGGAGTGGGCGGGACTTAAATGTATACTATCTGTCATTTCTTCCATGAAAAGTCTCAGTTACTTAGTGACCATTTAGTTATGCACCTGCTACCAGAGATTTCATTCTCCTATATTCATAAGTCTTCCACATCTCCAAGGACCAGAGAAGGCTCATGATCCACACAAGTGAGGCCTCCTGGATAACAATGGGGAGAACCACCCTGGGCTGAGGGCCCCTAAGAGGGCTCTGCCTCCCCAGGGATCCTTGTGTCACAGCCAGTCTGAAACTGAACTCAGGGTTCCCTCTCTGGGGCCTTCAGTTTGAGCACCAGTGACATTCAGCTGTTCTCTGGCTAGGGTGGAAGTTCAGATTGGGCCCTGCCCTTTGTCCCCTCTATACTTCCTGAACCACTGCTGTTTTACTTCGTGCTGTTCTCTGTTCTCAGTAACCTCTTAATCCTAGGAACTATGACCATCTCTTTGTCTCACATCAACCAAACTAATCGTACCTGGGAAGAGCACTAAGACAGAAATCAACAGCTGGGACTGTGGGAAGAGAAAGCAGAGACACTGGCAAAGGAGCCAAGGGTCGTGTAGGTTTTGAATGAATGATGCTGACCAAGCTTCATCTGCCCGCGGAATCCAGTCTCTGTGGAGGGTCCCAACACAAGGGACTGCACAGCTCTTTACCAGTGCTTTAAATCAAGTTAAGACTCTGGGAAAAGGGCAGTGCCTGTGGCTCAGTGGGTAGTGCACCAGCCCCATATACCAAGGGTAGCCCGTTCAAACCTGGCCCCAGCCAAACTACAACAACAACAACAAAATAGCCGAGGGTTGTGGCGGGCGCCTGTATTCCCAGCTACTCAGGAGGCTGAGGCAAGAGAATCGCCTAAGCCCAGGAGTTGGAGGTTGCTGTGAGCTGTGATGCCACAGCACTCTACCAAGGGTGACAAAGTGAGACTCTGTAACTCTGGTCATAAACTTAGTCATTAAATGATAGGTATGTGACAATAAAAAGATCTAAAAGGCCAAGTAGCATTATTAGACATGGCAGGGTGGGCATGGGGCAGTGAGTGTGCACGTTTGTGTTTCTGAATAGCCATCAACTAGTAAATGATACTAGAAGACAGAACTGATCCCTGAAGCTGGAATCTTTTCCCATCCTCCCACAGAGCTAGCACAGCACACAGTCACATTCCACTTGCCACAGGGAAAAAAAACCAATGCTTCAAAGGCAGATAACATTGTATGGAACTGTACCTTTTTAGCGGTTTTCCCCTTGGACTTGAAAATATTTTCACTGACATTCATCAATTTCTTTAGTGCTAAAGCTTTCTCTTTCTGATGGTGTTTTTACACACCAAATCAAACCAGTTATATTTGCACAGCTCTTTACCAGTGCTTTAAATCAAGTTAAGATTTATAGTTGTATTTTCTTTCTTTCTTTTTTTTTTTTTTTGAGACAGAGTCTTACTCTGTCACCCTGGATAGAGTGCCGTCATGTCATACCTCACAGTAACCTTAAACTCCTGGGCTCAAGTGATCTTCCTGCCTCAGACTCCTGAATGGCTGGGATTACAGGTACCTGACTAATGTTTCCAAGCACATTTATAGGAAAAGCTTGTTTTTTTATTTTTAGTAGAGACAAGGTCTCACTCTTACCCAGGGTGGTCTCGAACTCCTGAGCTCAAGCAATCCACCTGCCTCAGCCTCCCAGAGTGCAAGGATTACAGTCGTGAGCCACTGCACCTGGCCTAAAATGTCCTATTTCCTGTTGCTGTACACGTGGAACTTAAGTCCTGTGGAGCTGTCCCTCAGCACAACAGCGGGACACTTCCATGCTAAGGAGAGGAGACTGGCCTCTCCCCACCCTGAGGAGGCCAGTCTGCTCTGCCCAGCTCCCCAGCTCCTGACTTAGGCCCCTGACCCGGGACTCTGACTATCAGTGATCACCCTGGATTTGAAACCAGGAACTTCAGGAGAGTGCTGGTCCCAGGCAAAAACAGAAACAGGCAACATCGCTAGGCAGCAGGGGGCAGGTGTCCTCTGCCATCCATATCTGTGTGCCCCCTGGGCAGACAGAAAATCTGGGCAGTCCTCCGCTAGACTCAACGTGAGTGTGGCACTAGCTGAGGTCTTTGGGGGGCAGTTCTTCAAAAATCTTTTGCAAAAATTATCTGACCTTTCTCTTTTATAGGGTGCTAGAAGGATTACACCGAGTCTGTGTGCTTTAAAAGCTTTGACAAAACATTAGGCCCTCCTCAAATATAAGTGTCACTAAGCCAATCCAGGGCTGATTTCCAGGTGAAGGACTGGCCACTGCAGGAGAGGTTCCGTGAGTCCTTCCTGCCCACTGCCTGCTGCCCTCTTCTCCCTGCAGCTCCAGTGACTCCTCTGTCCCAAAACTGGCACGCAGACGTCCTATAGCAGAGCAACACCACAGCCTGGTGCTGAGGAAGGTTGTTTCTTCTTGCTCTGTGACACCCAGGCAACCCCGCCAGACTCAGACCTGGTGACAGGACCCTTTCAGCTCACATCCTGTACAGGTCAGACAATTAAGTTCGTAAATACAATCTAGGGACAGTGCTGCATACTGTGTTGCTGAATATCACCTTCAAAGTGCTCCCCTCGGCCAGCTGGTGGCTTTTGCAGGATGAATCTGCTAACTTAACTGTCGGAGCTTATATTACTGAGCTCAGACTGGCGCCTGCGCCCTGCTCTGTGGAGAGCCACTTCTGCCAGGTGACTCCCGCGCTCTGCGCTTCCTTCCTGTGTGAGTCCTAAGGGTGTGGCCCCATCAGCATGGACTCCAACAGGGTCTATTCCATTTTCTGAAAGGACAAGTTTGTACTTAAACATGGAAGACCTATTTATTAAGTTTTTTGTTTCTCTAGAACTGAAAGACTGCAGCTCACCTTTATAGCTCTTCCTTTCTTAATAAACCATAAGACTAAATTTCTCAGAACTGCATTTCACATGCAGGTCAAGGCCCTCCGCACGGTGGCGCTGGTGTTGGGTGATTAATGTGGTTAGTCACCTTGTGGGTGAAACCATGCAAGATTGCCTGCAGTCTTTATCAACCACTGTGCAAAAATAAAACTAGTTAGGAACTAAACTGAATGAGTCTAACAGACATTGTTGATCTTCATTTAAAACCTGCATTGTACTTCTCTGAGAGTGCCAGAGTTGGCAGGAATCTCTTGAAGATGAGATAATGATTGTTATTAAATGGAATTGTGTTTTGGCTTCTTTGTTTCTTCACTTACCCTCTATAGGACTTGGGTATGAGGCCTCCTGTTGTGCAAATAAGCATAAGGGAATGATTTTCCCAGTGAGCTGCGGATGAGATCAGAGTGGCCCCATAAGCCAGGAGTGGCCCCGAACAACTAACTGTTCCCTCATGTAAAAAAGAAGGCTACTTCTCTAACACCAAACTCGGAAACTGAAATAAGTATTTGTGCACAGGCCCTCCAAAATGTAATTAGTCACTATCCCGTAGTTTCAAGCTCAATTTAACTACAGTACGACCTCCACAGCTGACCCCCTCAGCACTGCTGAGCAGCCCCTCCTTAAGTTGGTCTAATTTTCATAGAGCAAACATGTACCACACTGCGGATGCTGCCTGTACTGCAGGCCTCATTCCTCATGCTGGCCACCTCTGTATGCCCGTGGTGGTCACCTTACATAAGCTCCATTGTATTTAGGAGAATATTTTGAGACTAATGTTTCCAGGCATATTTATAGGAAAAGCTACCATAGCTTAAAACCTGTTAGTTGCTTCTCCTGCCTACGGTCACTCTTAGTATCCTTTAAAACACTTTATAAAATGTACAAAACAATGCAGGTAGCTGTAGTTGTAAAGCAGACCTCACACTCGTTTCTGTGAAAAGCTTTGTCCTCAGGCGCAGGGCAGCAGAGCAACGGGAGAGTGCGGTCTGAGGGTCGCCAGCACAGCCGGCATCCAGAACCAACGGGCCTCTCACAACCCCTCAGCCAGCCTCTGGGCTCAGCCAAGCTGAGAACTGCTCCAAGGACATGCACCACGGCTTTCTCTGAGCTCCCTCAGCCCCTAAACCCATCCCTTAAAAGAGCCTAACAGACAGGAGTCAAGGTGCGTACTCTGGAAGTGCTGGTGAAGTACAGAGAGGCCCGGGGTAAGGATGTTACCGCCCCCCTTTCCTCTCGCCCCCCTTTCCTCTCGCTGCCAGGGAGCTTGACACCACATTTAACTCATAATAGAGACTTGGTAGGCCTTCATGGCTTGCATTTTTAAGCTTTTTTTCTTTCTTACTCTTAAAGTTTTACTTTTGTAATTACCCTGATTCTAATTTTATTCACTGCCATTATTTTATTCTATGGTTTTTGTAAGCACTCTGAAATCCTCCATGGAATAAAATGGGGTATAAACACATAAACACACTTTCATACAGATAGAATCAAAGTGGCCACATTCTGCCCCATGACCCTACCACAGGGACCAGGCTGAGTGCCTTTATTCTGGCTGTCACCTGGGTATCTTTTCTTAGAGTTCTCGGGAAAGAGGCCTTACTTGTGTCCTTGGAGCTCGATGGCTGTTCCTTTCCTCCCACCGATGTCCCACATGATGACGGAGTGATCTGAGCTTCCTGAGAACAGCACCCTCTGCACTGGGTCCCAGCAGAGAGCGGTCACCCCACCTGAGAGGACAGACAGCACAGTGGATGTCAGGCACAGGCAAGAAATGTCACTGGGTCCCAGCAGAGGGTGGTCACTCCACCTGAGAGGACAGACAGCACAGTGGATGTCAGGCACAGGTGAGAAATGTCACTGGGTCTCAGCAGAGAGCAGTCACCCCACCTGAGAGGAAAGACAGCACAGTGGATGTCAGGCACAGGCAAAAATGTTACTTGCCAATGGAAGAAGAATGCAAAGGAGCCAGGACCCAGTGAAGTTCGCGGCACAGAGTGGACGGTTGTTGAAAGCACAAATAAATCCCAAAAGAGAAAAAGAAAATGGCTCCAAGAATAAAGATTTCACCCTTTATGCATTTTTCCACAAAATTTAATGTACTGAAAAACTGATTACTATAAAGACCAAAGGGAAATGAAAAAGACAATTAGTTGACATTCAAAGAATACACGGCCTGCTAGGAAGAATGGAAAGTATTGCCCTGTACGGAAACACTAATTGTGTTTTCCTAACTGCTCCCTGCCTCCCATTCTGCCACTGATGGGTGAGAGGCGGCGTCTAAGAATGCTCCATTAGATTTTTTATTCTTTAATATCAAATATAATTAAGGTACAATATCAGAATTTAAAATTATTTTTACTTTGGGAATTTTAATTTACAGATTTGGGAAGATCACTTAACATTCTTAAGAGTCAGCTTCTTCAGTGTCAAATGGAGTCAAGGTGTGTACTCTGTAAGTGCTGGTGAAGTACAGAGAGCACTGGGTAAGGATGTTACCGCTCCCCTTTCCTCACGCTGGGAAATCCACTTCACTCCGACTGTCACTACTGATGACAACAGGCACGTGGTCGCCACCTGCCCAGGAGAGCCGCGTCCATTATGGAGCCCGGTCCGGAAGCCACAATGCAGAGCACACAGGTGGCTATCAGATGACTCCAGCAATGTGGCCATCGCGCATTATAGCAAGTTTTGTTCCATGGTAGACGCCTTTTAAAGAACACTTTTGGGTACTGAAAACAGTAATTTTTTTTCACATTCTTTAAATGTCTGAAATACTCATTGTTTTGCATTATTGAAACAACATCATAGTCAAAAGAACATAAAATTAGGCCTCATTTGTTAGAATCTGACATTTTTCTTAGAGATGATTTTTCAATAGATGATCAATTTATTACAAGGAAGTGTGGTACTTTACAAGCTTTTAGAGAAGTTTTTCTCATAAACTTGTCTCAGAAGATTTTTTTTCTTTTCTATAGTACTCTGTTTGGAAGGAAGATATTTTGTTTTGTTTGGAAGGTCAAAAAGGGAAGAAAAGCCCCCAAACCCAAACCCCCACCATCCCGCTGCTTCTTGTACCTGCACCACTTCCCCAGTGCACACACGGTTCACACCCGCCGCAGGACCCACCCCCAGCAGCCAACAGTGCAGGCTGTGGGCAGGCTCCAGTGCGCCTACTGATCAAACGAAGGGGCAGATGGAAGAGAACATGAAAGTCTCTTTTTTTAAAAACCAAAAAACATTTTTTCATTTAATAAAGTATTTAGAACACATAAAACAAGGCAACATCTATTCTTTTTTCTCCTCTTCTGGTATGGGATCTGTCGGTGGCTCCTCCACTGTGGCACTGAGCGGGTGCTGCTGTCACTGGCTCCTTCCTCAGCCATGCTGCCGACCCCCTCCTGCCCGCTCGCCTTCATCAGGAGTCGATGTGTCTTCCTCACCATTCTGCTGGCTCGCTGTCCTTTCCTCAAGGTGTGTCTCCTCTGTCTCCACTGGAACGTTCTCGTCGTCTTCCTTTTCCTCGGCTTGGCTGGCCGCTTGCTGCCTCCTTCTCCCTCTCCTCCTGCCTCTTGCGGGCCTGCTCCTCCGCCTGCACAATCTCAGCGCCATCTTCTCCATACCCACTTCTACCTTCAGACCGCACAACCTTTTAAATTCATTTTTATGTGAATCTGTGCTTTCCAGAAATTTCCTCTTCTTTTCTTGATGTCGTTTCTCTATTAAAGAAGTTCAGCTTCTAGTTTTTGCTGATGAACCATTAAAGATTGGACCTGTCATTTGAGGACCAGCATTCTGGTTGTTGTGACAACTGACCTAACGTCTGGCACCGCCCTCTCACTAAAGATTTCACTAATGAGGCAGTGGTTTCTCTGGAAAGGGCGGTGGCTGTATGCTTCGTTGAAAAGCCATCATCACAATCTGGATCTTCAGCAGGCTGAATGCTCATGTAAAGTTCTCCTTTCTCCATGCGAGACTGTCTCTGTTGACTTTCTTCCTCTAAAGCAGCTTCTGCACGACTTTCTGCATTTATGTAAGCAAGGTACGCGAGGGAATTATGACAGGCCTTCATAGATTCATTGTACTCGATCTTTTCTGCTTTGTATTCGTTTAAATAGTCTTGTTTCTCTTCATCAGTGAGATCTTACCAATCTCCCACAACTTTAGGTCAGGGTTAGAAGCCTTCACTTGGTCCTAGACCTTTCTGCTGTGCCTCATGTAGGGCATCAGCGGCTTATCTGGGGATTTGGAATTGTAATACCAGAGGATGCTGTGAGTTGGTGCCTGGGTTCCCTCCCAGCCTGTAGTTGTTATAGGCAAGATGACTGTATGGATTGTATCCCACAACCCCTGGTGTGCTAGGCATTTGTGTTGTAGGAGCTGGGGTGGGAGGTGGGGCATAGATGGTCTTTTTGACATTTTGGAAGATTAAGTTCTCAGTTCCTTAAGAATGAATCTGAGACACTGAGGGCAGAAAAAGCACCTGCAGCTCCAGCTTCGCTTCCCTTTAGAGAACACAAAAGTCTTTTTATCTCCACACAAGTCCTTGCTTAAATGCCACCTTCTGAGAGACACTTCCCTGGCCTGGGCCCATTGCTTTCCTCCATGCTCTGTTTTGTTTTCCTTGACTATCTACTGCCCCAGGAGAATGTAAGTGCTCAGAGGCTGGACCATGGCCTGGTCACTATGGTGCCCACAGGACCTAGGACTCGGCCCGGCTCATGTACAGAAGGCACCCACCCCACGAGCAAGTGACTGAGGGAGGAAGAACAAGAATGGATGCCCTGTGCCTTGTTCTTAGCAGATTAGCAGGCAGATGATATCTCTTTTCTGGCTGACCAGTGATCTATTCTACTACCTACACCTTTCAAGTCAGGACACACTCTGCTCAAGAAGAGTCTCTGAGGAATTCTTGCATGACTGGTTAAGCTAATGTGATTAGGGGGACAAGTAAAAGAAAGTTGACAAATGCACAAATTTTCCTGTTTACACAAATGCCAACGGGTAGCTCAGAGTCTTTAAAGCATCGTGTCAGATCTAAATAGTGGTGGGCACTATAAAAAGAACGATTAGAAAGGCTTCCCTGGCTCAACTGGAACACTTAATGGGAGGGGCCATTCACTCTGTCAGAGTCGATACAGAAATACTGCAATGCACAAGGTCATAGGTACCTTTAGACCCCCCACCAACACACACCTGCACAGCTACAAACACTGCACCAGGGGAGCAGGCCCTCTCACCTTCTTTGTGGGCGACTATTGATGAGGATGGCTTATGGCAAAGGAAGTGAAAGTCTAGATATGGTATTAGAAGTGCACAGGCTTTGGAACCAGAATCTAGGCTCAAATCCCAGCTCCATCTTTATTAGGTATATGGCCTTGGGACATATGACACAAATGTCTTTGTGTCTCAGAAGTCTCATCTTAAACTGACATGATACTGGAACCTGCCTTCAGTTCTGCTGAGATTGAATGGGTCACTGCACAATAGCATACAGAACAGGCTCAGCACCCGGGGGTACTCAGCACTCCGCAAGCACAGCTGTGATTACTGTACCAAGGGCCTCATCTACTCAACCACCATGAGGGTGTCCTTGTTGAGTCAGCCTTAAGGCAGTGATCAGCTTGTTCCCATGCTATCCCAGCCATCAGAGATCAATGAAGGTTTCAGAAATAAGACCAAGCCCCAGCTTTACCACTTTCATCAGGCCATAATGGGCTGGGGCTGGGAAGGGGAGTTCTCAGTGACACAGAGTTAGGAAAAGAAAATAGATAACCCAGTTAAAGCAAGTCAGAGTATATTCACCAGCTCCCAGGGCTGAGAAAGATGAAATGAAAAGCTGCAAGACATGAAAAAGGATGGGACAAAGCAGGGGCAAATGGTGCTGGGTCCCATGCCAGCTCTATGGCAATGTCCTGACAGCAAGGTCTGTTGAAATTTGGTCTATCAGTTGTACATGACAGCATTCACTTCAGCTCAGTCCAACAAGCGGGAAGGAGCATCTGTCCT